CAAACAAACAAACAAACAAACAAAAGAAATGGCAAAGCCAGAGAAATGATTCAGTGGTTAAGAATGTTGTCTGCTCTTCCAGAGGTCCTGGGATCAATTCTCAGCACCCACATGGTCATTCACAACCGTCTGTAACTTCAGTACCAGCGAACCCAACACTCTCTTCTGGCCTTTGTAGGCACCGAATGCATATGCTATACATACATGCAGGCAGGCAAAACACCTATTCATTGAAAATAAAAATAAAGAGCAACTTAAAAAGTATTTTTCTAGGTTTTGAAATGCACATACATGATGAGACAGTAGGATAGAAAGAAAGAGGGTGGGCGTAGATAAAAAAGATGATGGCAGAACTTATTTTAGGTCCAGCTCCAGACCAGAGATTTCTGGAAGAATCATAGCCCTTCCTTCGTTTCATTCCTTCCTGAGTGCTGTGGTTTGAGCATGGGGGTGGCATATACACACACAAAGTTCATGTGCTGAAAATTTAGCTTTGAATTTAGATATTAACAGTAAGTGTGTTTGTGACATTCGGGTAAGTGCCTAGGGTTAGCTGAGAGTGTGACATCTTATCACAGAAGTAGCAGCTTCATAGGGCAAATATGGCCATCACAACACACAGACAGCTGAAAACAGGTTTTTTTTTTTTCGTACTTTGCATAAAAAAATTTGTAAAGTTTTTTTTTTTTTTAAAAAAAAAAAAACAACCTAAAGATGTTATGTGACTATGTTTTTGTGGTAGTCCCAGGTGTGGGAGACAGGGCTGCTTCAGTTTGTACACGGCAGCTGACTATGATTTGCCTCGTGCTCTATCAAGGTTGTGATTTTTTGCCAGGCGAAGATAGATTACCTTTGGGATTCTGGGGACTATTGAGAGGGTATATAATGCTAGAGCCCAGAAAGGAGCCAGGCAGCTGCTGCTGTCCCTGCTGCCCCTGCTGCTTGCTGTTTTCTGGATTGCTGGTTGATGGCTGGAGATATCCTGACTACTATGAAGATCAAATTCACCCCAAGGAACTCGATGCCCCTAATCAGCAGGAAGAAGTAGTCTAATGATAACGACATCCCATTTCCCTTCTAACCTTTTTTCTCTCCTACCTAGCGTTGGGGAGTTTGGAAGGGATAGGAGCAGTGTAGGGAGGAAGAAAAAGAAAAAGAAGTAAATAAACTAGCCAAAAGTCCAGCTGCAGAGGGTTTTCATGATGGTGATCTCTGCACATACTGGGCATTCATAGGAGCTGCTTGAGTCAGTGCTGTTGGTAATCAAAAAAGAACAAGGATTGTGATGGCAAAATAAAGTTAATTTGTTTAAAAAAAAGAAAAGCGAGACCTGGGCCAGCATTCTCATGTCAGGTGGCGTTCTCTACCATGTTGTGATACGGCAACCAGACCCTGACCGGATGCCAGCACAGCACTTTTGGATTTACCAGTCTGCGGGATCACGAGTCAAGTGACTCTCTCTCCTCTTTATAAGTCACAGGATCTACTGGACTGACTTGTAGTCACACAAAACAGGCCAGGATGTCAGCAAGAGGCTTACAGATAGATACTTGTCATAAAACTCTATACAGAAAAACGTATATATATTAAATTCTGAAATTGGCACCTGTTTAGAGAACACAAACGGAATAAACTATAAGTCATATGACCTGGGGAGGTTTAGAATATAGTTCAATGCCATCCATTCCAAACTTAGCTTGCTTGTAGTTTGCTTTCTGATTTTCTTTTTTTTTCCCTCTCCTCCGTCATTGTTTTCTTTCATGGTGGTACTTACTATTACTATGGTTATAATTTGACTTTTTTTCTCACGGTATTCTTTTCTCCATATATGTTAGTCTTCCTTAAAAATAAAGACTTGTCATTTGTGTATATGTGTGTGCAGTTGTGTGTTTATGTGCATGTAGATGCCCTCTGAAGTTAGAGAGGTTGTCAGACCCTCTGGAGCCAGTCAGGAGCATTTGTAAAACACTCAGCGTTGGAATTTGGAACTGAACTTTGGTTTCAAGAGTAGCAAGTACTTTAAGCCCCTGAGCTATCTCTCCAGCTCCCACTTTTTCCCTATTTAAATGGCCCAAACATGAAATTGAAACATCAGTGCAAGTATTTCACATAACTATTTTAAGCGAAAGTGTATTTTATATTCTTATTTAAGAATATCTTTGACACTTTTATTAGAGTAGTTGAACATTTACGTCCCTCAAAAGCTAAATTAATTAATATTGCTAACAATTTTTGGTGGCTCCCTGACTTTTCCTCCAGTGATGTGGTTTGCCTCCACTGACATAGGGTAAAGAAAGAAGGACATTAGTGCGAATAGAGAAATTTCTAGAAGCAGTGTGCGAATTTTCTGTATTACACGGTCCTGTTTTACATTTTCATTTTAAGAGTGAAGATTGCTATTTGAGCATACATGAAAAAAACCTGTATATTTTCAACAGAATTTTCAAAACATGTATATAAGAGAACCAATCTGCTTTTATATTTGTTATAGTTATTTGTAAAGACAAAACAGCACTCAGGATTGAAGCTGGTAAGGCAGGATGGGACAGCCTCTCCTCTTCACTTTTCTCTCACAGAAACTGTAATTCAGTTTCACATTTTTTCATAGTTTTGGAAGACAGCTGACTTCCGCTGTCAGTGGATTCCATATATATATATTTTTTTTACTTTCTAATATTTGTTGTTGTTTTTACATTTCTTACATACAAAATTCTATCTCTTGTATTCCTAACACACTGTCAACCCTCCCCTCAGCTGCCCCCCCAGGAAAACAGTCACTGATCTTCCAAGTTGAATCACTTTATCTCTGATGGCTGAGCTGGTGAGACTGGCCAATCAACACCGAGCAAATGCATCTCCACTCCGGCAGTCTGTATGGACCCTGACGGAGTACCAGCAATGCTTTCTCTACCCCAGTGCCCGGCTCTTCTTCCTCCTATTAGGCAGCAGAGGGCAGCGGGCAGAGGGCAGAGGGCAGAGGACACAGGGCAGAGGGCAGAGGTCAGGGGCTCATGCCACATTTACTTCTTTGAATGCCGCACAGGTACTCACGGGGAAAAAAAATTCTGTAAATCACCACCTAGATCTGTAAGGGAGGGGAGGCATGATATTCGCATATACAATGGAGATAATGATGCAAGCTTATAGAAACAGGTGAATGAATGAGCGGGAAAAAATATTATTCAACTACAAAAGGAGCAAGAAGGTTGTGGGCATTCTCTTGGGATTAAAACACAAAGCTGTAAGACCTCGGGTATTTTTCAATGAATATGCAATAAGTTTGTATTACGTCAAGTCAGACTTTAAGGCCAGAGGTAAAACTTCCTGTGTTTGACTGGAAGCTCCAGATGCCAGGCTCAGAGCTGAGGATTTGGTGTCTGCTCCAATAAGGTTTATCTTTCTGTGGACTGGTCTAGCTATGCTCATATTCTTCTCTTTTGGGGTGAAAATTTATTCTGTATCATTACATGCTGAATACATGTAAATTGTATTTTCACGTGATAGGGACCCACAGTTAAAAGAATGTCTTGACTTTTGATTTTTTTAAACAGTGTTGGGATTTTAAAACTATGCGGAAATATGAAATTAGACTGAATGTTTACTATTTTGCACTACAAATTGGCCATGAGCCCATGGGATTGAGGTATGAAAGGTTGTGGTTTGAAAGTGTGTGTGTGTGAAGGTCGAATCGACAAGGGTCGAATTTTAACTTGATAGTTTCCAGAATCACACGGGATACAAGCATGTGTATCACATGTTTATGAAGGTACTTGTTTAACTAGTGAGTTCTTGTAGAAAGACCTACCCTACACTGAACAGTATTATTCCCTGGGTTTGGTTTCTGTACTTCAGAAAAAGAAAAAAAAGAAAGAAACAAGAGGAGGATGCTAATTCTCAGATTGTTGAGGCAACATAGTAGTTGCCTTAAGCTCCCTTTTGCCAGGACTTCCCATAATCATGAATTTGAGCCTGAATAAATTCTTCCTTTCATAAAAACAAACAAACAAACAAACAAACAAACAAACAAACAAAAAAACCATAAAAAACAAAACTTCCTGTGTTTGTGAGTGTGTGCGTGTTATGAATGTGTAGGTATGTATGCATGTGCATGTACATGGAGGCCAGAGGTTGAGTATTGTCTTCTATTATTCTCCATCTTGTGTTTTGAGGCAGGGTCTCTCCCTGAGCTTGTTGCTCACTGATTTAGTCAGAAAGGTGATCACTTCATCCCAGGGGTCCACATGCCTTTGTGGTTACAGGCACATGCTACCCCCCTTTTATGTCAGTGCTTGGGATCTGAACTTAGGTCCTCATGTTCTTGTAGTATGCACTTTACTGAATGGGCTCTCTCCAGGCACCAGAGGTCAAACTTCCTGCTGAGAAGCACACCTCGGAATAACACCCATGACATTCATCACAGCAGCACTAATTGTCAAGCATTCCCTTAAGAGGTTTTAGTGAGCGGCTTCTTCGGGAAATGATATTTCGTGATGACATTATCACTAGACCTGAGGTATGAAGAGGTATCTCAACTGAGTCTTAACCACACAGCTCGTGATGGGAGAAGGAATGGAATGGGATGTGCTGTTATACACAGAAACAATAACTTGAAGTCTGGGTGTATAAATGTGATTACATGAAAATAATGAAATTGTATAGTATAGACTTGAGTTATTCTCATAATTTATCACACCCCTACACACACCCTATATGTCTTTTAAACCTTATGCAAGGTCAGCCCCTCCTAGCGTGAAGGTACTAGCAACCAGCTTCGCTCTGAAATAGTGTTGCATTTAGAGAACACAGCTGAAAACCCTTTGGGGTATCTTACCTTAGACGGTTGCTTTATTCACAAAGAGTGACCGAAGGGCAGATAGGAAGTCAGAGCTTCAGCTGCCTCAGCCAATCAGGACCCGCACGTGGGGAGAACAGGAGCCACAGTCGGAACAGCTGTTTTCTGCTGCGTTTGTTGGACTCTCCTCAGCATTCCTTATGCAGTCTTACACCACAGTGCTTTTCTTCCCTGTTGAGGCAGGATCTTTAAGGTGAAGGCTGGGTCCTCTGGACCAGGGGGACCCATGAGCACTGTGCTGCGTCACCACCACTCGGATGGAAGGCTGCGCGTTCAGTGTGGTCTCAGGAGCATATTCCTTACTGGGGTCCTTGCCTCGGCAGTCATACAGCACGCAGGAGATGAGGAACACCAAGAGTAAGATGACGTAGCTGGCAACTAGAATGATGAGGTTCAAAGTGACAGGGTCGATCTCCAGGTAGAACTCCATCACCTCTCCCACAGTGGGGAAGTGTGTCTAAAGAAAGGCATTTGGGGTCAGTTTGGGCATCTCAGGCAGGAAACACAAGGGCTACATTGACTCTGGAATAAAAATACAATAATCCCCACTGCTCCAGGAAACCTCAAGGATTAGAGCTGCTCAGTTTAATAACTTAAGCTCTTTCTGTTAATACCACTGGAGAGAGGAGTGTGGGAGGGAGAGGGAGAGAGACAGGGAGAGGGAGAGGAAAGGGACAGGGACAGGGACAGGGAGAGGGACAGAAAGAGGGAGAGGGACAGCGATGGAGACAGGGACAAGGAGACAAAAAAAATCACTTGAGCAAAAGTGCTGCTAATGAGCACAAGGTCACAAACCTGGATTGCCATGGAGGACTGTGAAGTGTGAAGTATTGTTAGCCTTCCCCTAATGGAAGCTTAATGTCAGTTGTGGACTGATTTGGGGTGCCAGGCCTTTGGGATTTGGATTAGAATTTTTTTTTTTAAATCAGGAGGAATGTACCAGCACCTGATGGATTCACTGTGGTAGTTTGAATAAGCATGACCCATAGGCTCCTATGTTTGAACACTTGGTATCCACTTGGTAGAACTGTTTGGGGAGGATTAGGAGGTGTGGCCTTGTTGGCAGAGGTCCATCACTGGGAGTGGGCTTTGAAGTTTCAAAAGATTTCAACCATTCCAATTGTGCCTCTGTTTACCTCTTGTTTGTGGGTCAGGATGTGAATGCTTAACTTTTCTTGCTGCCATGTCTTTGTGCCACCATCATGGATTCTAATCCCCTGATGCCCTTAACCCAATTAAATGCTGTGCTTTATAATTTGCCTTGGTCATGGTGTTTGTCACAGCAATAAAAAAGTAATTGAGACATTTACCATCCTTCATATTTTTTCTTTTCACCCATCAATATCCTTCTCAAGTACTTCCTATGTTTCATGGTCTTTATTAATGGAATTGTTTCGTTGATGTGATAAAGGTAAGATAGCTCTGCAATAAAAACAGATGTTAAACAATTCATTGCACAAATCACCACTTAAGGATGATGCAAGAGCTCTGGGGTCCTGGCTCAGCAGTTAAGAGCACTCTCTGTTCTTGCAGAGGACCGGAATACAGTTCCCAACACCCACACTGACTGACTCACAACTGCCTGTAATTTATATAATTAGATATAAAATAAAGCTTAAAATTAAGAAAATGAAGGGCAGGAATAAATTTATATATGGACTAGAGTAAGTTATCCTTTTACTAATAATTTTTTTCTACCTCATAGTCCTGCCCCATAGTGCCAATAGACCTAGCTTCATTTCCTTATGACTTATGCAGATGCGCAAGACTCTATGCTCCAAACACTCTGCTCTTGCCATCTTGAAGGTATTCGGATTGGGCTCCTGTAAGAGTAAATCTTCGTTGTTACCCTGACTGGGTTTAGAACTATCTAGATTAGTGAGGCACATCTAGGGGTGTGTCCTTAAGAACATGTCCAGAGAACAGTAACCCAGGAAGGAAACTGACATTGAATTCAGATGGCCCCACCCAACAGGCTAGAGGTCTGGGCAGAGGAAAAGCAGAAAGGAGCTCAGTGTTCGTATAGTCCTTGTTCTGTGCCTCCTGGACCATGACATGAACTTCTCTGCTCTGTCACCTTCCTAGCCGTGATGTGCCGAACCCTCTGAATCCACGAGCCAAAATGAGTCCATCCTTCAGCTCCTTCTATGAGGCATTTGGTTACTGTGATAAAAAAAAAAAAAAAAAAAAAAAAGCTACTTATGACTTTCCCACACTGTATTTGTTTCCCTTGTTTTCTTGGTATGTGGATTTTTGGTTATACAGGACATGAATGGCCATTTCTCTAATGATAATAGCAGTCTTTCGATACTCTCAGTTAAAAGCATCTTGAGGTTGAGGTTGGCAGGGTTTTATTTCGTTTGTTTGTTTTGGTTAAGTTCTAATGAGCAACTTCCTGCCACACCCATTTTTGCCTAACTTCCACAAAAAGCTGAGGCTTCAGGAATGCTTTAGAGTAGTGGTTCTCAACCTCTGGGTTGTGACCCCATTGGGAAGCTCATATCACAAATCCTGAATATCAGATATTTACATTACAATGCCTAACAGTAACATAATTACAGTTGTGAGCTATCAATAAAATATGTTTATGGTTGGGGGTCACCACAACACGATGAACTATATTAAAGTGCCACAGCATTAGAAAGGGTGAGAACTACTGCTTTAGAGGATCACTCTTAATCTTCAGGAGATCTTTTCCAAATGAAATATTCTATGTCTCTGGTCCTGGATGCAGGATGAATGCTTCTCCTATGCTGTAGGTTCCGGCCATCCTTCTTGGACTCCACTTGGCTTCTTACTAATGCAGATGCCTATATCAAACCCAAATCAATCTGGTGAGGATATCTGGAACTTGAGTCTTAGAGTCTGCATTAATAGTGATTTTAATGGATAATTTTGCCATGCCAGTTTGTTGGAGTCTTGGCCATAAAATATCAAAGCAAACTCTATGGCCACACTGCTTTGAATGTGCCCAGTCTCATCTAATCTTAGAAGCCAAGCAGGGCTGGATCTGGTTATAACTTAGATGAGAGAATATGAAAACAGAAGGAATGTGAAATGTTCGAGTGGACCTTGACTATCTGCCAAGAGATACTCCAGGGTGTGCTCAATACACAGTTCAACAACTGTTCAATAGATTCAGAGAATTAATTTTGTCAAGAGAAAGTCCTTTTCCTGGCAACAATTTCCATTGACCAAGGTCCTACGAGACAGGTGTTAAAAACCAGAGTGCCAAAATCTGGAGCTCCTGTAGCTCACTCGGGAAGGACCATTGCTTGCCTTCTTCTTGAAGGCAGATCTATAGAAAAACCAAGTTGTTTTCAGGAAGTTTCTTGGTGAGCACAGGACCCAGGAAGTGAGGTTGTCTTTCACCAGTCAGTCACATGCAGTGTCCCAGCCTGAAGCCAGGCTTTAAAAGGCAAACAGTGCATACCAGACCATCACTTTCTTTTGCCAACACTGACCTCTAGTTTCTTAACTTCTGTACTGAACTTGAACCTCCAAGGCCTAGTGTCTGCATGAGCGCTATGGCACCTTTAAACAGATGCACAAAGACTTGTTAAAATTGACTGTGAAATGAGAACTCCGTATAGCATGGTCCATATTAAATCAAAGCATGTGTAGTAGCTACTTTGCTCTTGTAAGTGGGGTTTTCCATCAGCTCTAGGTTCCTTTAGGGACAACCCTTGATCGCGATGGGCATCTGGCCTGGCTTCTCTTCATCCATCAACCCAAATGTGTTGACTTTTCTCATGGTCTTCTATAATATTTTGATTAAGATTATTGCTTTTGGCTTCAGGTTTTTGGTGCCATCAACATACAGTTTTGTTCTCGTTATTGTTGCCTCATTGTTCTGTCTCTGCTTAAGCTTAACTCTATGAGAAGCCTTCCTGGGGTAGGTCAGCTTCCCATGATGTCCAGCGTGAAATGAACCTTACATGTTTTACCAACTGAACACCAGGATGCCTGCTTTTTTTCCCCTCACACTGTGGCCACCCTCTCCTTTGGGCTTGCCTTCCTTCTCTCATTGTCTGGAGCCTTTTCCTTTTGCGCCATCTAGTGGTTACTGAATAAAGAAACTCAACCTGGCAATACGCCAACGGTAATGGTTGGCAGGAAATAGAATGTAAACACCAAGAACAAGCCATGATTCAGAACTAACCCTCAAGGTAGTCAGGGTGTCCTCACTCCTTCGTTCACGGCAAACATTCCTTGTGTTCTTACCATGCTGGCAGACGCTTGGTAGTTTTGAGCTTGACTTGCGTAGCTGTGGCACACACACACAGCGCTGCCGCGCTCAGGGGGAGAGGTAAACTCCAATCCCACTATTTGAGACTTATTCTCTGAATTTAGGAAAACCGAAGCTTAGCTAAGAAGGCGTGGAATTTTATTTCCCATTTCCATTCTCTTTCTCCTCATCCTTCTCCCCTCCCTCGCCCCACTCTTTCTCTTGCACCCACTTCTTCCTAGTGCCTGAAATAGGGATCAAATGACTTCTTTATGTTGGGGAGGGAGACACTCAGAACCCAGGAGAAAGGCACCCCGTGGGGTCTGCCTTGTACTCATTTTTACTGAAGTCTGCTGTGACAGCTGACCTCAAACATTACTTGAGGAAAAAAAAATGCATTCTGTATTGTTGCAACATTATTTCGTGGAAAGGCAACTAGAGTTTGCTGTTTAACATACCCAAGTATTTTTGGTATTTTAAATATTGTGGACTGGAATTTATTCCTGGTATTACATACAGAGTGCCTTGTGTCCTTGAAAGATACCAGGTCCCCAAAGTCCAAGGTTAATATTTAATAATTTCAGGGCTGGAGATTTGGCTCAGTAATTAAGAGCACTGTCTGCTCTTCCAGAGGACCTGGGTTCAATTCCCAGCATCCACATGACAGCTCAAAATTGTCTGTAACTCCAGTTCTAGGGGATCTAACACTCTTGCACAGACATACATTCAGGCAACACATTAATGCCCATGAAATAGATGTAAATAAATTATTTAAAAAATATTTAATAATTTCAGAAGCAAAAATATCACAAACTTACAAAAATTATGGGGGATTTCATTAGTTGAGGACATGGTGGTTTGAATAGATATGGTCCTCATAAAATCATGTGTTTGAATGTTTAGTCAGCAGGAAGTGGCACTTTAGGAGGTGTGGCCTCGTTGGAGTAGGTGTGGCCTTCTGGAGGAAGTCTGTTTCCATGGGTGTGGGCTTTAAAGTCTCAGCCAGATCACTCTCTGCTGCGTCTGAAGAAAATGTAGAGCTGCCAGCTCCTTCTCCAGCACCATGTCTGCCTGCTCTCCACCATCACAGCAATGGACTCAACCTCTGAACTGTAAGCCAGTTAAATGCTTACTTCTATAAGAGTGGCCATGATCATTGTGTCTCTTCACGGCAACAGAAACCCTAACTAAGGCAAGGGCAT